TCCCGCCCTGTGAGGGGATCAAATCTGTGACGGTGTAATCGACCTTGTCAACTACGCTATCCTGAGCAAGCCAAGAGATGTAGATGTCCTTCGGGGAGAAGTCTTTGACAAAGCAGGTCAGGGTCACCTCATCCTTTGTGCCGAAGTTTTCTACGGACGACGAAGTGAGAAGGAAGACGGACGGGACTACTTTCTGAGCTGGAATTACAAGAGTGTTTCAGTACAAAAGGAACCTGGAACTGGGACTGCAGACAACAAGCACTGATAACACATATATAAATCAAGGTTAGTTTTCGGTTAATCAGGCGTATTCCTGTCAATCCCCTGACCTCAGTCCATTATACTTTGGGAAGAGGTACAGTGGGGATTACATCTTGAAACATGCTATTAAAGACAAAGACTGTGAACTGTGAGTCTGATGGTACTGTATATTAAAATATGGTGTAAATAGCTTCAATTTTTGTAGTTACAGTACATTTGCAATCCTAGACGTATGTGCAGTTGTTGACCTATGTATGGCCTTATTTCGACAGTCTAAAATGCAAATTGCTGTGACGATCGTGTTCAACAAAAGTGAAGGAGTAAATGATTTGAATCAATATATAATTGAGGGAATGGTGTTTGATCTTATCAATGTTCATATCTGTGGCTGTGTGCCTGTAATAGATTTGTTACACTTTTTCAGCTTTGACACCAATCTAGTAATTGTCAAATAGGTTCACATTGGAGAAAGACAGCCACAATTAAAACTGCAGTTGAATTTGGCGGAATTAGTTTTGCTTTTACAAATGGCTATTTGACCCAAAAAAAGCACATTACCTAATGAGTCTGCTGAATTAATAGACTTAAAGCCATTGTGTTTTAGCCTAACTGAGTTTTGCAGTGACTTACCAAATGATCTTTTGTAGACTACTGTCCTCGGGGTGGGAAAAGAATCAGTGTGTGATACGATGCATCTGTACTCTGTGCCCGTGCGCCATTTCTCCAGGTCCGCAGTCAGTTTAGACTCAGCCACAATTATCCCTCCTTGATCTCTAACTTCAGGGGCCCCAGCAGCCAGCGGTTTGCCCTCTGAGGTCCACGTCATCGAAACATCACTGTGAGATGCCAGGCCGATGGCTCTGCAAGTGAGGGTGGCGGTCTTTTTCACAAACTGCTCCTCAGCTGTTGGGGGCTCAATGGTGATCTTGACTTCCGATAGGCACGCTGTAGGGAAAAACGGAGAAAAACAAAACAAACAAAAAAAACATATCTCTACAGTTCTGTGCCTCACAAATTCACAAGTTAATATTTATATTGGAATACTGAAACATGCAACATGTGTGCAGTGCTACACATATTTGGTGGTTAATACAGCAGTATTTTACTTGCATTTATTTCACATGGTGTCTTGAAATCTATGTCAAGATACTAGTGCAAAATTGAGTTATGCATGCATATAATAGTATCTTAGCTGTGTCTCTAGAAAAGGAAGTTAGAATTCAAGACTTACGAGTTGGAGTATAGGTAGTGTTCCTCACTGCAGTTCCTGACTTGTGGACAAATTCGCATGCAAATTCAGCAGAACTTTTCCATTCACTCTCTGGCATGGTTAAGAGGCTGCTCGCACTGTACAGTTTCTTCTCGTCCTCAGTGGCAGGGATATTGGTGATCCCTTCAACCATTTTTTCACTGTTCTTCCACCATCTGAACTCGTGCGTTTTAGGAGAGAAGCCACTGGCCACACAGACCAGGGTGGCGGTATGGTTGTGTGCTAACTCCTCGAGTGATGGTGGGCTTAGCAAAATGGCAGTGGGGGCGACAAGTTTTTCTGCAAATCAAACATATACATGTAGATGTACACACACATACTGGGAAAACTCACAGCGCGCACACAGCAGCTGGCGCAGAAGAAAAGCTGCACAGGAGGAGTCCCAAAGCAGAATGGATCTGGGGACACATCCGACTTTCAAGAGCAAAAGCACCCATCCACTCAGGTGGTGCAAACACTCAGTCCAACAACCCAAGACTGTCTTGAGTGCAGTCCCCTGTGGGAAGCAACACCAGACACCCAACATGGACGAAGAAGCAAAGTTTGACTCGCCAGCTAACCAAGCCTGATCCCTGAGTATTAACACAGCTGTTTAGGTGGAACCGGAAAGGGATTTGCTTTATCAAACGAACACACAACCCGCAAACAAAGGTCTGGAGCCGGGCTTTCCATTGAAAAGGCTGTAAATGTCACCATCGAGTTTGTTTTTCTTAATTATGAATAGGGTTTCATTAGTAATAAAGATAAGAGAGGGGATCAAAAAATGTGGGGAGTCAAAATTAAAATGACAAGAAAACAAACTAACAGGTAAATGTGAGTTTGTGTTTCTGTATCAGGATCATTATTTTTCACACGGCGAGTGGCCTTCTTCAGACTTCATGTATTTAATCCAGCAGTTAACATAGATCTGAGTGAGGAACCTGCGTCACTGTGTGGTAGCAAAGGACCAATTAGAGGTTAAGTCCACACTGTCACTTCCACAGTTAAAGAGGCTCCAAACCCAAAATATCTTCTCTCTTCTCTCTTTCTGTTTTTCAGTGTGGAAATAACCTCTACTGGTTACCATAGATGTGCGACTGAACATTGACCAATGACGACAGGAATAGATTTTCTAAAATCATTAGATACTGATCGTCCTCCAACTCTCCACACCAAGTACTCAGTAGGGATTCTTTGAGTGTAAATTTCTGCTTCTTCTTAAAATCTCATTCCAACTATTCCGATTTTTAATTCCGTAGTACATCAAAAGTTCCACTTGGTCAGATTGAATTTTGGTCCTTTCCTGCCCTGCCTGATGGTTGGCTCTAGCACGACAGAAGGTTTGTTTTCTTTTCCCTGAGGAAGCAGAGAGTCCGCTTCCTCACACCTTCAAGGACTGCAGGGAAGGAAACTGAACCTCTTAATTCTTTCAATTATTAAGACGTTATGTATCATCTACGTCAAGGACAAAATGTACTGAAAATTAGAACAATACTTTAGGCCATCAATTGTACCAGTCAACTAGAAAAATGTGAATTAGAAGAAATGTAAATACAGCTATGTTAAGAGAACCAGGATGTTGAGACGCAAAATGCTGACACAGAGTTTCTATTTGCATCTCTCTTTTCTATTTTCTATGTTTTAACTGGTAAGTTAAATCCCTGTAGTACTCTGGATAGGAGATACAAAAACATGGTACTATTGCCTGCTTTTTATATCCTAAGACTGTATTACCTAAAACTAGAGATTGAGTTGGGATTTTTAATAAGATTTTTACATTTATCTGGGAGGTGGCAAATCAGATAATTACAATGTAATAACAGCCTGAAACAGAAAATAAGGCAGCTAAATGCTCTGTAGTGTCAAAATGACAAATTTCTTTTTAAATAAGTATCTGGATTTAGAGAACACAATTCCTTTCGATTCGTTTAGTGATTTTATGATTGAGAGTCTGCCGTGACACATATCAGACCATACTGATGCAAAATGATGCTTTGGATCATGTAATGATACAACCAGTTTCCTTAAAACATGATTCCTGCAAATAAGCCAGGTCACATATTGTCAGACTGCCTAATTATATGTTTTATTAAGTTTAGATTAAAAAAGAACATTTAACGATCTTGAAAATGACACTTGGACGTGATTTGTAGTGCTACATATAAATGCTAGCAGCTGCCATGATTTAATGGTGAACTTGGTGTTGGATATGACAAACACAATGACT